GTGGCCATCTCCTGTCCTGTGCAAACTGACTGACTGACTGACTGACCTGACCTGACCTGAGGCGGTCTGTTTGAAAGGTTGCGGTGTCCTGACCTCAGCTGCTTTTTCAGTGATGGATCTGGTTTGGCGTAATTCGTCAACAACTGAGAGCAGCGTGGAAAATTTGTGCTATGTACCACAAGTCAACACAATTGTTTCTTCATCGAAAGAAGGTGTTTTGAGCCTGTATGATGCATTCAGTGGGTCTTTCATACGATCAAGTCACTCAGGAAACTCTAGCTCAAAGTCATCAGGTACACATGGGTTGGAAAAATATCATTTTTTTAGATGGGAAAATATTGCTACAATATTTTGAGCCGAAAGAATCCCTCATTATAGCCCACGACAGACTTATAAACGTGCGACATCACTTCGAGGATATTTTTCTCATCGGTGATATACTGGAGCCCCCGGTTACAAATCCGCATGAGAGAGTGCGCCTGGAGTTGAATGCGGAGCAGGCTACGTTGCTCAAGCGAGTATTCTTTTCTGACAGCAAAAATTTGGAGTCATTTGAAAAAGCTGGCTTGCAAATAGTAGATTCAGAAGGCCGTCAACCTCGACTTAATGACGTAAGTGTGGTTGAACGGGTTCTCACGGAAAAAGTGGCCCACTTTGATTGTAGATGGACCCTATGATATTCTTGCATCTTTTGCACAACATCTTATACAATCTTCACAGGAGGATTTACCTTTGGCTCCCTTGGGAGCATCAATCATAAGCCGTTTGTTCCGGTTGTTTATCCCAGAGGACATTCTCATTTCTTTATGTTACTGGCAAACAAGAGCACTCCTGAATATCGAACAATATCGTCGAATCAGCTTTTGCGTTTGGCCGCATATGGATTATCAGTGAGTTTTTCTACTGCTTGATGTTGACTTTTTATTGCACACCGGAATACGAAGGACAGCAGACGGGCTGCCTCGCTAGGTCAGGCGTGGTATAGAACCTAGCAATAGCAAACTGTCTTTTTTATTATTCATCTCCGTTTGTGGCTTACGTGTTTTTTATTCATTATTCTAGGTTGTAGTATAAGTCACTTTACATCTGACTGACGGTGATACTGACGTGGTTCATCAAACGATCTATTCTTATTCTATAAATTCGGAATCCTGTTCACTACGATGTATATGTATACATAAGTTGAAAAAGAATTACAGAAACAGGGAACAACTAAATCAAATCGATCGCATAACAGTAAGGGTGGTGGCACAGTTGTTTAGTCGCTGTCACCGGCGTGCTTTGAACCCTATAAACAGAGGTTCGAGCCCCGCCAACGTCACCCAAATTTGGTGGTAGGCAGCTCTGCTGTCATCCGTTTCAATACCACGCCTAACCTATCGGGGCCTTATATGATTCGCCACTGCAAGTTCCGGGGCTTAGGTTGCCGATTTCAACCACTGAACAGCAGGTCCTCGTTTGCTGTTCATCACCTAGGTGTGTAATAAGAAAAGCTATCGTTGGCGTGGCTCAGTGAATATACGTAGATCCGATTTGACCACGTATTAGTTTTAACGCAGTTCATACTCCGACTCACTGGTTGCAGAAAACAAACAAACCTCGGGTGGCAGATCCTCGTCGGTCTGACCCAACCGTTCGTGCCCGCTTTGAATCTAACATCCGGATCTATAACCGGGTTGGTGAACCACTATCAGTTCACTTAGGGGAGTTGGCTAGAAACCGCGATTCTAAACCAACCAAGCAGAGGCGTACGAACCCGGTTGTGGCAGTGGTCACCGGCTCGATTGGGCATCGAGGTGTATTGGGCACCATGGACGTTTGACCCCGTCCAACGGGAGTATGATCCGCTGAACTTGACACCGGCCCCCAATGGACTGTGGTTTTCACACACCGCCCCGCTGCCTTGAGGGTCAGACTTTGGCTAGTTGAAGGCTCCGATTGTGAATTCCTCAAGAAAGTTCACCTGCCTTGTCTTGGGCAACCTGGCAATATTTGGCCCACATGCAAATCACGGAACGTTGTTCTGTTTTTTTAAAGATTATTATACCATGATTTGGTTGGTACAGTTTGGATTCAGACGTGTGTGAATATATATGTATATATATTTCAGTATATCGATCATTGTTGTCTTTTCGGACTGCATTTGACTTAGTTGATAGAGCAGCTCTCTGGACTTGTCTATTACAAAGCGATGTACCTGAGAAGTACATAAACTTTCTCAAGCAAGCTACTCAAAAGAATCGGGCCGCGTCAAGGTCTATGATCGCATCTCCCCTTCATTTACCATCACAAGCGAAGTCCGATAAGTGCCCGGCTTCATCCTTTTTAATTTCGCAATATACAAATTCCTAAGCAGTGCTCTATCTTCACACATGAACGACCATTTAGAAACCGCCAATCACTTATCTCAGGAGTTGTTTCAGCTCAAGGGGACTGACGTAAAAAATATTATTGTGTATCCGCAAGGCTCCAGTGGCTTTCTCTAACATATATCACTTATAGCGCCAACCCGATCTCTCTCCATGAAAGGCCGCATTTCATCACCATCATCATTGTACAGCGTAGTACAGTGAAGCGAACTTCAGCGCTCTCTACCAAACTCATAGTGCATACAAAATAAATGAGAATGTGTAAGGAGGACAGGGATTGGGCCAATTTTTAGGAACGGGAAAAGAAAGCGAACCTCTGTGGTCAACACAGAGTACACCTACTAGTTCAAGCATTTTGGTTTGATAAGAAGTGACAGCATGATCTCCATTGCTGTCGCTTCGCAGCCATGACCTTCAGTGTCTCCAACCATGGGGTTTCGGAGTTTTCTGGACCCGAACCCGGAAGACGAGAGACATCTACTCTACCTAATCGCTCTGTGCATTTCTTCATGCCTCGTCTCCACGTCATCTGTTGGCCTCCACGTGGCTTTCTCCAGCCTGTAACAGGCACTGCAAACAAGGCGCGCTGCGGTAGGCGACCGTCGGACATACGCGAAACGTGTCCTAACCAACGGNGCTGGATTCGATGAGATAGCGAGTTCTTGTTTGATGTAATCCCAAACACCTGACGACTTACTTCTAAGTTACTAACGCGTTCACTCCATCCCACTTGGTCCAGACTACGTAAGCATCGATCGAAGGCCGCATTTGCAATGCCACAGTACACACTATTTTACTCTACGACTGCTAGAGTTGGTCCCTCCACGCAGAAGAAGTACGGAGATCAAGTGTCTTTGACCACTGTTGCTATCGTTGCATCGCCAGAATACGTTGGCAACCGCGAGTCTTTAACGTTGAAGTTTGGCGAAGAATCTTCACCTCAAACAATTTCAGTCGACCTCTGAGTGACGTCATCTCGCTCCCGAAACTTCGATGACTGGGGCTTGTGTTGCGGATGCCAGCTTAACGACTACCCCATTGTGTTGTTTACGCAAGCAGACACTAACTAGAAGCGGTGACAAGGTGGACAACGAATAATCTGGGCTCGAAAGATGAAGGCGTTAACCTCAAAA